GAGAGAGAGAGAGAGAGAGAGAGAGAGAGAGAGAGAGAGAATGTGATTGGGGCATTGGGGATGATACCGACGAAGAGTGAGAACAAGTTCGTGAACACAAGTGTACAACAGCACAGGCGACAAACTTGAGCCGTGGAGAGAGTGCACCACAGCAGACCTATTGTATGTGCGTTGCGCAGACGAAAACCCACCGACAACATTAAACGTCGCAGTCACTGCACATCCTTCCACGCTCTGGTGCTAAAAAAAATGGGGTTCCGCACCGGCAATGCCCTCGTCTCCCTCGGGTAGTCCCGGCACCGCTTGCTGGTGAAGCCTCGAGACCGAACAATACCGCCCCCTCCCCCGCTTGGGTCCTGTACAACGTCTTCTTGTTTTTCCTCCACTCTGCTCCACTCCTCCACGCCATTCTCTTCTCTTCGGCAAGAAAACCGTCAAGGCCCCATCCGGCCTAGCAGCATCCCACCGTCCTGCTGTTGTTGCTGCTGTTGCTGATGCTGCTGCCACGACCATTCGATAGGCATGTTGTCGCAGTGCGGCGTGCAGGGTAGAGGCGGACGAGCAAGACAATGGGAAACGAGGCTGTCTCGGATTTGGAGCGTTCTGGGTCAATGATGACAGGATTGCACACGTTGTGAAGAAAGCCTGTTCCAAAGTTCTCTGTTGGTGTATTTGGACAGCGTCTCCTTACTCTGTACAGTTCGGCTGGTCTATGGAGGGATCTCCGCTTTATTCTAGAGTACCTTGTTGAAGTCGTGCACGACGTTTGTTGCAGCGGGCACCTGAAACAACAGTAAATAAAAACTGCTGTTCTGCGCACGTTACATTGCGACTTCAGCAAATGCACGCTTGCCGACCTGTCAATCCCCAGCTCGTAGCTCCTCTCCCCTGCTGGCCGCTTCTTCCGCCTACGAAGGGAGCGCAAGCGCCACATGTTCCCGATTTCGAGGCCACCTCTTGCTGCCTTGAAACCACCCTCCTCGCCGGAGCCCGGAACGGCTCCGCCGGGCGAAGCCAAAACGAAAAGAGTGCAGCGTATAGAGTAAGTGACGCGCGTGCTCTTCCCATCCCTCCAGGTCGACAGGTGCATGCCTTGTGCTCCAATGCTCGCGGGCTTGCGGAGCAGTCAGGGCCGAGCAGTCACGGAGTTCAAAAGGTTCTACGTTGGCGTGTTCGAAGGTGCCGGGCTGATAGCGACAGTCCAGTATTCAGCGCCCGGCCGATGTTACGCGCGGACTTGTGCGTTGTGCCGCTAGTACCGGGGGTTGCCAGGTGGCGGACTCGAACTATCTTTGCTGATGCCGAACACGCCCCAGGAGCGTCTGGATAGAATCACAAACCACCTGGCCGCTGGATACTCTTCGCCTGGAAGAACAGCAGCAGCAGCGATGGCAGCAACGGCGAGGCCGCCGATCACGGCGCATGCCCTCGACACTTCAACAGGCAAGCCGGCGTGCGGCCTGCCTCTCAAGCTCGAGCAGAAGTCTGGGGGCGGGAGGGGCGGCGGGTACTGGCTTCTTCTAGGGAGCTGTGAGACTAATGAGGATGGACGCGCTCCACGGCTCCTAGATGCGGGACATGTACGTGTAGATATGAGCTTTCCCACCAATCCCACAGCTAGGCTCATTTTTCATGCTGTGCTTGGTAAAGAGGCCCATACGGCCGCGAAAGGAACCAGTGAGTTCAAACGTTAGAGTAGTCAGCGCTGACTAAAACCTAGCGGTTTGATTTGCTTCAACAAAAGGTACACCGACACGTTCACTTCCGACGTTCACTGCCGAGGGTTATGACTGTAATTATTGTTCCACGTCTGTTGGATGGTACGCAGCTACCGCTGCGTGCAAACACGGCACATTGAGACTTGTCGATCTCTTGTACAAATATGCTTCCGTACAAGCTTGCTCGTTGGGGCTCCCTAGGCAGCAAAATTAGAAAATGATCGAGTTCATGCCCGAGCAGTGGGGGAGAGACGTAGGATTTTGGCAGTAGTAGCACCCTTCGCTGCTGTCCGCATAGCGCTTTGACAACCGCGTTGCTTGGATGCCAAACATACGACGGCCTGTTTGCAAGCACGTCGTTTTGGCCAACGAGCGTACCCCCGGCTGTTGTCTCTTTGCGCTCGTTCTCGGATGTTGTTGTACTCAGTAGCTTATCTAAATCCGTGTTGGTGCTGATGTCACATTGCTTGTGCATCCAGCACGAAGAGCTCCAGCCCCGCGCCAATTCTTACTTGCACCTTGAACCTGGGCTTCTTTTCCGAGGTATGCATACTACCTGAAAGTAGGCTGAACCTCTCTTGGCCACTCTTCGACGAAAGTCGCTCCTTCCCTTTCCAGAAATCGTCGACAAAGTCCTAACACGTCCACATCTCGCACCATCCGCGTCATTTTTCGATGGTTACATAGGCCTCTGTCGAGACGCAGCAGAGGACAAACTATTTATTCTCCACCGCAGCAGGAGTCAAAACCAGCCCCACATATTGTGTGGTATCACGGCCATTTTGAAAGTCTTTTGCCTGTTCGCATCTTTCAGAAGCTGAGCAAGGCCACCTACCGCGTGACGTTCGACACCGAGGCCTACTTCGAGACGGCGGGGTCCCGCTGTTTTTACCCGGAGGTGGCGATCGTGTTCCGCGTGGAAGAGCCCGAGGAGCACTACCACATCCCCCTCCTTATCAGCCCCTTTGGCTACTCCACCTACCGAGGGAGCTAGTAGAAAATATTTGTATTTTGTAGTCTCTTGTCGTCCCGCCCCACTATACTAGTTGGTTATCGAAGCTTGCCGTTCTCACGGCACCTGTACAAGGGGCGTACGTGTAAGAGAGTGCGACCATACCGGTGTTCTGGTACAACAGCGAGCCAGTCCAACCTGCAACCGCGCCATCTCCTTGTAAGGATGCATCACCTACTGGCGGTGTGGCCAGAAGGACGACTGCCCCCAGCTGCAGTGGTGATCTTAACCGCAGCAGGGCGACTTGCATCTTGCGAGTGGAGTCTGGGTTGACACATGCATAGTTTCGTGGAGCGCGGATGTTGTGTGGAATGATTTGCTGGTTGGACGCGTCTTTTCGTTGTAATATGTTGCGTCTTTAGCAAGCGGCTTTCTGGTGGCGAAAGCCATGTATTCTTCAATGTTGACTTCGAAGCACGCGCGCACGTGCACTTTTTTCGGGAGGTGGGTTGCCGCTGCTGCACAGCCGATTTCAAGTCGGAAGCATTTGAGGGAAATGTCGTATTCCGTGGTGTGCGCAGAATTTTGGGGTTGAACGTACAAGTCACCTACCTGAGGTAGGTTTGGTTTGTACGGTAACTTGCAAATACGCCTCCACCCACCCTCTCCTGTTGCTTGATTTTTTTTTTTATCTTCAGGGATTGTTTGATTATTCCATGGGCGTGAGTGTGTTGTTTTTGTTTTTGGTACTATTTCTACTTCAGTTTTGGAGAGGCGATAGTATCAGAAAACCAGAGGGCAATTTTGTTCGGGATCACAAACTACAAGACAACTAATTATCATTTTCGTGCATGTGCAGGCAATATTTGTTCTGCCAAATGCCCCCAGTCGTTGTCTTTTGCTATTTTTGCTATGTTAGGCCTGCTGAGCAGTACTTTTCTGGTGCCGATACACGAGAGGTTACACCGCAAGTGTCTGCTCGGGTACCGGCATTTCGCGTTCGTCTCTGGCATGGCTGATGCAATTTTTCCTTAGCACATAAGTGGTGATCCTCTTGCAGCCATCTGATGCAAAGAGCTACGATCTTACCAATGTTCTGGAACAGCGATGGGCCAGTCCCTCTCGGGTGCTCCACCTAGCTGGAGACGAGCAAGACGTGAAATTTTTGCGTGCAGCCCGCAACCGCGCAACCTCTTTGTAAGGCTGCCTTACCTACTAGCGGTGCGGCCAGAAGGACGACTGGCCCAGCTGCAGTGGTGGTCTTCACCGCAGCAGGGCGACTTGGTTGTATCTTGCGAGTCTGGGTTGAAGTGTACACAGTGTCGTGGAGCGTGGGTGTGTTGGATGGGATAGCTTACGAGTTGGACGCGTCTTTTCGTTGATATGTACTTCTCTTTTTATCGTTAGCAAGCGGGTTTTTCTGGTGGCAGAAGTATTCTTCAGTGTTGGCCTCCAAGCACACACGCCACTTGCAGGTTTAGGTGGGTGAGTTGTCGCGGCTGCACAGCCGATTTGTCAAGCCGTAAGAATTGAGAGGAAGGTGGTGTTGTGTGCGCAGTTTGGGTCTTAGCGTACAAGTCGCCGACCTCTGCTAGGTTTGGCAGAAATGCTGTGAGCGCTGATTAACGGCGACTAAAAAATACAGTAACAATCGGATGTCTCTGATCCGTGCACCCGCGGATGATGTACGTGATATTGAACGCTGTAGGATGTTTAACGGTTCAAGGGCGAGCCGAAATGCAGCACTGTGAAGCACGTTTTAATCTCCTGCGCCAGGGTGAAGACACACGAACGTTTGGCTCCCCGGATTGGTCGGTTGTGTGCACATCTTCGTTTCGTCTGCCTGTCTCTACATCAGATTGAGTGGAGTTGGCGATGGTCGTCCGTCCTTGCGTACTGCGTTCTTCATGACAAAACCGTCGTCGCTACGCACCGTCCCACATCATGACAACGACGCCACCTTAATCAAGCGATCGAGAATACCTTGGAGAATCAGCACGGTTGCCCGAGGCAAGCTGCGTTGCCACCCTTGCAACATTATCCGGGGGATATTTTGGCACCTCAGCCATTGTCTCTTCCCGTTTGTTAGGCCTGCCGAACGCGCTGGTAGATAATATAGCGGAGGCAAGCGACACACGTCCTTTTGAAAGACAGGAGGTGAAGTACCGTTGTAGAGTACATGCAAAAACGAGGCTTTTCGGTGTTCTTATCTCCATTTGAGATGCATCCGGCAGCGTGGACGGCTGGAGTGAAGCAGAAAATGCCATGGCTCTCGAGGAATCGATGTCAAGTTGCAAGAACCCTCGCTGCGTCCACTTGCAAGTGCGAATTTCGGAATGGGGTTGAAAAAGCAAGATGCGGAGGAAACAGTGTATTTATTTGCCATTCGTGAACGGCTTCGCCCGATCAGTACACCGATAGCTACAGAACAAACAGAAACCCAACCGAACACTGGTACCATAGGGGCATTCTGTGGGACCCCGCATTGAGGGCCTTTCGTGAGAGAGTGCAGACCGTACAGCAGTAGGGGCAACTGCAAGCCACGGTACCTGAATGACAACGGAACCGAGCACACCGCGGCTGTTACGTAACCATACCCACAACACCAACATCATGGGCCTTTCGTTTGTGTTATGGTCTTAGATACACACGTGCTACAGCAGTCGACCGGAACCGTGTACCTTGAGCCAGACCTTTTCTGTTGTGGAATGGCGACGGTTTCTGCCTTGCTTTTTCCCGTCATGCACCGCAACGTGTTTATTCGGGTGCCAGCACCTCGCGTTCGTCTCTACAGCTTGGCTCGGCTTTTCCTTAACACACGCGCCGATACTTTTGCGATCACCGCATGAATTACTTGGTGGTCGCGTTTAGGGGGCGCTTTCTTAGTTCTTTTTTTCTGCGCGTTGAAGAAACCCGACATCACCGACGTCTTCGTTGGGATCGGCGTTGTTCAAGGCCTTGGGGGAATAGTTTTGTGTCCTGTGTCCCAGGTCAGTATGGCACATAAACAAGCACTTCGCGTGCGTCATTCTGTCCGACAAGTGTATGTATGTATGTATGTATGTATGTATGTATGTATGTATGTATGTATGTATGTATGTATGTATGTATGTATGTATGTATGTACGTCGGCATTGACGTGTTGCTGCGTGTCATGTTTGGTATGGTATTATCAAGAGCTTGGAATGTGCCTCCACCCGAGCTCCAAAATACGCACCGCACGCCGAAAGATGTGTGCGTGTGTCCGCGTCATCCGCGTGTGAACACTTCCTTGAGCATACGGTTCGGCACGTGTCTTGTGTGGCTTCGGCAACTTCCACAAATCGAAAGCCTGAGGCCGAGTAGAACAACTGGCAAGGATGAAAAAAAATGCACATGCACGCTCAAAAGCCATGATAACTCTCGTGGTGCCAACTCGCACGTGTTCAGTTGGCCAAATCAGTGCATCAGTCCGAATAAGAGTCCGAGTCATTACCGTTGCACCACTTCAATGCCCTTTTCTCCTTATGATAGACTAGGTCCCACAAGGACAACACTCCGCTGACCTGCTGACCTTACCAACGGCAACCTGATTGGCTCTACCGGGCCGAGAAATCGTCCACTGCACAGCTACATAGCAGTTGTAGGTCTATTTGCGATTAATACACATACGCACGTCCTACTCCGCAGGCGTCTTGTGATTGAGGTAGCCCTGGTACGTTGCTATTCTAAGGCCCTCGCCGGCCCCGCCGTAGCAATCAACCCCGGGGCTTGTGACCCCGCTCAGCGCCCGTACGTTCTCCACTTCTTCGCACATCGCCATCACCGCTTGCCCCACCTGCCATAGTTTAGTGCATTGTAGCGTTCGAGAGCAGGCGGGCGCATGCGGAAACACGTGTGGTTGACAAGGATCCACGGATAGAGGCAACGGAGAGCACTTGTGTTGTCAAAGTACCGACCGACGCGTTAACCACCCTTGCCGACGTGGAGTCAGGATTCGACGAATAATGCCAGGAGCTGCGGTGACAACCGGGGCGCCCAGCAGCAAAGACGCACTCATCAAGCTACTACTGAAGTCAATTATGTCAAGCTAAGTGTCGGCAATCGTAGGAGTAAACACTATTTAGTTGCAAGACAAGCCTCGACCTCCCTACTTCGCCAATGCCGAGGCACATGAGGGATGGATCTGCGCATCGCCGACTTGCTGCATACCAACAGTGCCCGGCTCGCGCCTCATACTACGACGCGTACCTCTACGGTGTCCCCCTCGGCGACGAAAAGCTTCCCCACGAAGCCGCACTCTGCGAGCTCGACGACCATGTCGACCGTGCCCCCCTCCACCGGCGCGTCCCCTAGGGCGTAGAGCGAGTCCGTGCTGAGCTCCAAGATGGCGTCGTACTCGTTGATCTCGTCCCCTTCCGCCTTGAGCCACTTGGTCACGGTGGCTCGCGTCTGCGTTTGGTATTCGGTTTAGCAAGAAGAAGGCCGAGGCGTTGCAGGAGGCGGAACAACAGATGAAGCACGGCGTGAGTCACATTTCTACATCGGTTCTCGTGTTTTCATGGTACCTTTGTACAAGTAGTAGTAAGCGAACAGAGACAGGGAGAGAGAGTTCGGCGGATGTGCGCTATAGGTTGGGTTCCCTCGATGATGTTGTAGGAAGTAAGCAGTGGCAAGAAGAGCTGCAAGACGACAGAGCTGGGCTGTAGTGTGGGGAACCGTGAGAGCGCATTACAGTAGCGTGCCGCATATGTTCCCCCCTGCACACCCATGCGCTCGGCTCACCTTGAGCTAAGAGGACGGGAATGCAATGCTGTGTGCTTCACCCGGTAGGATCGACAGCAATGCAACGGGGACGCCATCTCGTGTTAAGAAAGGAAACCCGTGAACGCATCACTCTATTTGTGTAGACTAGGGTAGTTTTCGAGACGAGACGTGTTCACGATGCGTAGGTATGGGTCGAGTACGCAGTGCGGCCTACATAACAAAGCACACGCAATGCTGACACACCGGAGACGTTTTGCAGGCGATCAGAATAACGCTGGGGTCGCTCCCTAGCGCACAACATCGAAGACGACGGGTTCTCGCCTCCAGACGGGGTTTGATGAAATCCCACTGATGAGGGTCCACTAGAATCGGCAGAAAGAGAAAGATCGGTCTTGCCTTCCTTGTGTGAATGATGCTTCTCTACTGCTGCGTCTACATGCCATGCAGACTACACCTGGAACGGCAGTTCGAAAACGGTACCACGACACATTCAACCGCAGCAAGTTGCAGTTGCAGGCCAATGAAGTACAACCGATTGCGATGAACACAACGCGACAGGAAATTCGCTCTCACCATGCTGGGGGAAAGCTTGGGCATCGGAAGGTACAGGACGTCGTCATCAGGAGGCGTGGTGGCACTGGAGGCTTGTCTTACAATCCGAGAACCCGCAGCACTCCGCGGAGGCATTGCTGCTGTTGCAGCGGAGATCACTTTTCGCCGAAGCCGACAGTGACGATTGACAGCTACACTGGCAGCGCCGCAGAATCTCCCTGCAGCATTCATTGTAGAACTACTTACAAGGAGGACGAGAGGAAGAGAGCGAGAGAGTGCAGCAGCGTGTGGTGGTGCGTGCAGCACAGTTGGGCGATGTGATGTTCATGTGAAACCCTTCCGAAACAGCCGGGAACGGGGCATCGCAGACGGAAAACGTGTACCCCTTCGAACCAGTTTCAAACACGCTGGTTGGCAGCGAGCATAGCGTGTAGCTTACCTCGACACTTGGTCTCTACTCGCACTGCTGCTGCTGCAGTCGCTGGGGATCCCATGGATGCCATGGACGACCACGATGAGAATGCGGGCGCAGGGTATGCGTGGGAGAAGGGCTTCGAGAGGACGTGGGAGGGAGTCGAGGAGGACGAGCACGGCAACATCAAGACGCGGGAGGAAGGACAGAGACGAAATCGTCGCGTGCGGCGACGAGTGGGGGGGTGAGACAACACGGCCTAAAAAATTTGGTTGGGATATTTCTGATTAGGTTGATCGCGCCGTGCAGAGATAGATGTCATCACGTTCTGAGCACCGAAGTGCTTAGGACAACGTGCTTGTTGTCACTGATTGCATGTTGACTCGAAACAGCAGGTGTACTTAAATGGATGCCCGATTGCAGTCTGTAGGTAAATTTATGATCTGCCGATCAATGCAAAAAGTATGAACACCGCCCACCGCCCACATCTTTGGCTCCATCCGCCAGTCATGTAAACGAATTAACATGCAACACCTGTTAAACTCCATCGTGGGCATCGTGGACTCTCGATGGAGTAGAGTATGATAGATGAGTGAAGCTATTCGTTGTGCATTTGGCACTGTCGAATTGTGTGCGGAGATGAGCGGCGCAACTCGCGTGAATTCGTTGGTTTTCGCGCGGGAACAGCGGTAACGCGGCTGTTTCGAAACGGATTGATTGCTAACCCTGGACTCTCATCTGTGGATGGAGCTAGATTCGTTGTGTTACGCTGTAAGAAACAACACTAAAACGAATACAATCGTCATGATTGTTGAAAGTCTACCCGTTCGAGCCAGTACCACAGGAGGCAAGGTGTTTGTTGAATGACGTCAACGTTGCAGTGAGCCGGGAAGAAAGCCTGCTATTATCTGCTGAGCTAATGTGAGTGTGTTGAAGCCCAAAAGCTAGCTGTTTCTCTCCAAATGGTTTGCTCCACGCTCGAAGACTGGTTCTGCTCGACGTGGGTTGCAAGCTACTTGTGGGCATAATCGCAAAGCCTCTTTCCGCCAGATGGCCACATACATTTCGTCGAAGGCGGTCAGAATCTTGTGGACTGCTGCGCCCTTTCAATGGAACCACGTCTGCAGATTTCAAGTTACTCAAATATCGGTATGTATGCAACAGCACCAACAGCACTGTTGTTGTCGCTGAAATTGCAGCAACGGCCACCGTTGACGAGATTGATCCCCCCTGGGTGCTTTTTTGAAAACGCCGCCGACTCCAGGGAGTCCATCAAGCGGGGGATGATCCGCTACCTCTACTTGGCCATCGACCTGTCGAAGACTATGGCTGACGGAGACATGCGACCGAGTAGGCTGGCGGTGACCCTCCGCATCGTGCAGGACTTCGTGACCAACTACTTCGACCAGAACCCTCTCAGCCAGCTCGGTATTCTCGTCACCCGGTACGCCAAGCTGCGTACTGTATGAAAACAAATACTCTTTGGGTTGACTACCCGTCGCTTGTGTGGTGGTGTTTTTCATAGTTTTCACCTCTCAAAGCAAGCGGCATTGGCATGCTCCTTTCCCTGCTTGTTTGAACGTCGTTGATTTCTGTCGACAGGTTTCTCTGTCTCTCGGTTTTTTTCTTTGCTTTTCTGCAGAAGGTCGCTAAGCACTTTCTGTCACCAGCCAATCCTCTTAAAAAGCTTGGAGCTACTTGCTCTTGCTACCGAATGGTTGACGAAATGAACCATGTCGACAAGTTGTGTTGTCCCCTCTGCATCCTTCTCTACCACAACCCCTCCCGGCTCTCGCTCGCGGAAACTCGCGTCCCACGTGCTTTTGGGACGCCGCTCACACAGCGAGGGCCGAGCGGAGAAAATAACGGAGCTTTCGGGCAACCCCAAGTCGCACATGGAGGCGCTCACGAAGGACTCGGACACAAAGGTGGGGCGTTGAGATCATGGGAAGAGACGGTACGGTAGGGTGAGATGCACAGGTTGATGCGTCCGATACCGAACGTTGTGGCACGAATCGTTGCATGCATGAAGATTTTCTTTTCGATGCGTAGCGCGAGTTATTCGAATGGTCCCGAAGTGCGATCGTAGATCTGTCCCATTCGTAGATGGTTGTTTCTTGTAAATTGTACGTGCGGGTTTATGTCGTTTTTGATGTTTCAAGCTCTTGAGGGAGCATCTTCGCCGAGAAAAAGAATCTGCCTCTCTTGCAGTCCTCCCCGTGGACGCTCCCGCACCGCCTGCCAATGGCATCAGCCTCTCCCTACAATGTACCGGTTGCGGGGTGGTCGTCCCCCTTCAGCCCGGTTGCGTTTTGTAACGTCGTGGCGGTGGACGGAGCAATAGATCCCGTCCGATCGGTATCGCTCATGATACCTTTGTTCAAGGACGAAGACTAAACCATTCCCCCCTTTCCCAGATTTCCAAGCTGCCCGGCCCTCTGGGGGGTTGCGTTGTCACCCACAGCGAGGAACGTGCGTGTGGTCGGGGATCAGCCCGCTCCTAGACCTCGGTAGACCTTCCTCCATCCTCGCTCCTTACCGATCGCCTTCTTCGCAGCGTCGTTTGTGCCGCCTTGGCGCAATCAATTTCCAACGCTTGCGCTCCCTCCCCATTCCCGGTGTGGCTGCTTGCTGCGTCGTGCGCGTTCAGGGCGAAGCTTCCCTCCAAAACTTGCTCGAGATGGCGTGTACGTCGCTTCGAGCTGTGCCGGAGTACGGCAACCGAGAGGTACCACAACAATGATCTAGCCCACGTAATATCTCTACTTACATCCAACACAGACCCGTCGACGCCAAACGTCCGAAACAGAGGAGTCGAGTGCGCACGACGGCCGAGTTTGTGGTTCGAGGAACCCCCTGTGTTGGCGCGACCAAGAAAAATGCGCGTTCGGGAGTTCCAAAGGGTCTTGGGGGCGACCTGCTGTGACCGAAAACTGCGATTCGTGTGGTTGAATTCAAGTGTACACCCCATCTTCTCGTCAGACACCCTTGGCTTTACCCCCCTCGATTGCAGCAGCGGCACAATGGCAGTCACGCTGCCTGGCTCGCCGGGTAGGGTATTAACACACTTTGTGGCGTGTTGGTTGTTGGTATGGTGCTCAGCAAGGCGCCGACCGTGGTATTACGCAGCCGCTCGAACATCGCGGGACTTCTTTCACCATCTCCGTTTTTTCGTTTCTGTAGCCGTGGGTCCCCGGTGCCTCCCTGCCGCCCGTTTCCCTGCCCCTCAAATCAAGCATACCGTGCCCTCTCCCACCTCTTGTGTGTGCACTACTACCGTGCGAACTGTTTCGCGCGATGGACGAAAAAGGTGGTGGTCATGTACAGCAGCTTGAGCACCTGCGACCCGGGGGACATCCACGAGACGATCGCCAAGCTCAAGACATACAAAGTGCGGGCCTCGGTCGTTGGACTAGGGGCGGAGATGGTGAGGGAGGGAGTGACCTCTGGGGTGGGGGGGGTGGGGGGGGGGTCCTCATAGTCGTGCGTGCCGTAGTCGTTAGACCATTGACCTCGCACCTCTGGGGTGTGGGAGTTAAGAATGGAGGGGTTGAAAGTAAGAGAGAGAGAGAGAGGGAGATAGATAGATAGATAGATAGAGTGAGAGAGAGAAAGATATATATATATATATATATAGAGAGAGAGAGAGAGAGAAGACTGACCGTTTGTTTGTGTCGATGGAGTAGCCTATCAGCCGCGTCTTTGTAGCGCGTTTGAAACATCTTTGGGTAAGGTAATGCAGTCCTTTGTCGGGGTTTACCGCCTTCTTTGACTCGTCAGCCTGTTCGGTCTGTATGTTTGGCCGTCTGCATCAATTTTCCCCACGGTCGACGACTCTTTGCTGTTGTTGTTGCTATTGCTGGTTGTTGTTGTGTTGATGCTGTTCGTTCTGTCTGTGTGGTGGTCTGCATCATTTTGTACCCCATGGTCGGCGACTTGTTGTTGTTGTCGTCATCGTTTTGTTTACAGTTCGTCCTCCGACGGCTGACGGAGGAGACGAGCGGGGACTACAGCATCGCCGGGGACGAGAACCACTACCGGGAATCGCTCATGGCGCAATGCACGCCGCCGCCAACGCCGCCGGGCCGGGAGGGGGCCATGTTCGCGGACCTTGTGAGAATGGGATTTCCGGCCGAGACCCAGGTAGGTGGGACGTAGATACGTAAACGTCCAAAGCGTTTTGTGGGACGAAAACCGCGAAGAAATAATGCGCGTCTACGTGTTAGGCACCTTGAGGGCAGGTCGAAAAAAGGTCGACTCTGTATGCGGGCTTTAAGAGTGCGCTTCTGACCGGCTGTCGCGATTGAGTCCGTATACGCGTTAATGCCGGGTATTTGTTGCCAACAATCCTAGACGTACAGTTGGTTGATTGATTCTGTGCTGTGAACGAGACGGGGGGACAGAGGGTGAGGTGATTTTGGCGAAACCTTGTTCGCCGGGGTCCCGTGTCAAGGACGGAAAACCCTGTATAGTGAGTGTGGATCTGCCGCTGCAAGCCAGTCGGGAAGCTAGTCGATTCCCCTCGCCTAACCCCTAACATCGGAAAGAGCACCCGTAACATTGGCCGTACTGCTGCTGCTGCTACTGCTGCTGCTGCTGCTGCTGGTATCGCTGCTGGCGTTGTTCTGGGAGTTTTTCGTCCAGCAGTACATAATATATATATATATATATATTTCGTGATGTTGCTGGAGGAAAGGGTGCGAAAACGCATGTGCCTTTCACCAGCAACTCAACGAGGAGCGAAGCCAAGTGGGACACCGAAGCATTCAAGCCTTCCGCAGACGTGCGTTTTTCTGGCTTTGATTTTTTTTATCTTGTGGACCACACAGGACGTGTTTCCGAGCCTCGGCTACAGCGGGAACAGGCAGGAGCTGTCGGTTTCGGGCTACAGCTGCCCTCGATGCAAGACCAAGACGTCGGAGCTGCCGTCGGAGTGCGTAATCTGTGCACTCCCTTTGGTGAGATGTCAGGCTGGGCCTCAGCAGACACGTTGGCAGTATGTGCACAGGGTAGAGTATGCCAAGAGACGAAGATAGGAGGGAAGACGGCTTGCAACATGAAGAGCAGGTGGAAAGACCGCAAGCCTGTGTTGTGGTGCGAAACTGAGAGCAGCAGCCCTACACGTCTGGCATGAGAGATGAATGATCTGAAGGACCCGCGTGGGCAAAAGTAACGCCTGAGCACGCCCTCTCCCTGTGACATGGAAGCACCCTCGCCATCCCCACACGTTCTCTGTGTGGGTAGAAGTAACCCTATCCTGCCTTCGATGAGACGAATGGTCGATGCACCAGTTCCTAAGGCATGCAATCATTTACTGAGTCCCCCCTCTTCTCATCCCGTGCAATTTTTTATCTCGTCCTGCTGTTAAGGTTTCTTCGCCTCACCTCGCGAGGTCGTACCACCATCTGTTTCCCGTGCCTCAGTTCGACGAAATTTCCGCCGCCGCAGCAGCGGCTGCAGCAGCGGCAGCAGCAGCCCCAGCTGGGCCTGCGGGCGGCATAGGGTCGGGGGATGGGGCCGGGCGAGCGACGGAAGAAGAAACTGCTTCTTCTTCCTGTGCCGGGTGTTTGCGAAACTTGTCGGGGTTGCCTAGGTACCGGTGCCCCGAATGTAGGAGCGCGTTCTGTCTGGATTGTGACATGTATGTGCATGACTCGCTACACAATTGCCCGGGTTGTTGCTGAACACACTTTGGGTCGATTGGTACCTGGCATGCGGAGCTTCGAAATAGTGTCGCAAGGGTGCAAAGCAGATGGATGCTGCTGGCGCGAATGCCATGTGGAGTAGGTTCAGGCCCATGGACCCTTCTCGGCGTGTAGGCGAAAACACCGATGCCCACGCTATACTTGTACTCGATGATATCGACAAAGATCACTGGTTGCCACGGCCAGCTAGCCCCCCCGCCCCGCCCCCGGGCCTGGTTGCTGCCACGAGTGATCGTGTGTAGAGTTGTCGGTGGTGTGGTCAGGGTGTTGATTTGTGGGGCAGATTTTTGGTGATGGTGTTCGTGTATTTTTGGTTGACGTGTGCGTGTGGAGGGGGGGGGGGGGGG